TGACTCCATTGACGTTACATGCGAAACTGTTTCTACAGAGTCTTTGGAAACACGATTATAAATGGGATCAACACCTGTCTGTCCAGCATCAAGCTGAATGGAAGCGAATTCTCCTCACACACCCAAGGATTTTCCAGACATACAGACGGAGCGACAGCATCACCAGCCCACCTCGTCGCATTTGCTGACGCCAGTAAAGTCGCCATGGCGGCCTGCGTCTATCTCGTCCACAAGGGAAGCTCGGTACTGCTCGTTGCCAAGTCGAAACTTCCATCAATCAAGGATAATCCTACCATCCCGAAACTCGAGATGAACGCACTGACAATGGCAGCTCGGCTCGTGAACACCACGCTGCGTGCGTTACAACGTCAACTCCACATTCAGTCCGTTACGGTGTATTCAGACTCCGAGATAGCGCTCGCTTGGTTAGCGTCATCGGACATGGATCGGAATGCCGGCACACTGGTCCGAAACCGTTGCAAAGAGATACGTGCCATATATAACGATATCAAGCAAAGGCAGTTGAAGTGAAATTCGGGCATGTCGGCACAGAGGTGAACCCTGCGGACTGTGCGACGCGGGGACTCACCACAGACGAATTCGGAAGACACTTCTGGTGGAATGGACCGGAATTCCTTACAAATGGTCAGGATCGAGAGCACTGGCCTCCCACTTCCGAATTACAGTGCCGAGACGACGGTAAAGAATCAACGGCAGAGCTTCAACAGAGCACCACAAACCTCATGGCAACTGCGACACACACTCCAGTGACAGAGGTCGTGGACTGGAAACGTTATTCTTCCGTTGCTCAAGCCACATCCGTCTTTTCGTATGCTTTGAGATGGCTCAGGCGCGTCGTTTCGAGGGTTAACCCCGATCTACGAGCCTCCATATGGGAACACATTCCACAACTGCGAAATCGTTTCGAGGACGAGTTCATCACCATTTCGGAACGTCAACAGGCTCTTTCCCTTCTCATACGCAACCATCAACGCGTATACGTAGAAGGCAAGATTCCACCAGTGAAAGATCGCTTGATACCGGTACCAGATCACGAAGGTATCATACGGTGCAGAGGTCGATTGCTGAATTCCGATCTACCCGAGGAGAGCAAACAGCCCATCCTATTAGGGCCGCAGACATCACTAGCCACGTTAGTCATTCAAGACGCCCACAACCATCTCCACCTCGGAACGGCTCATACCATGGCCGAAGTGCGGACCCGTTATTGGATTCCACAGCTTCGACGGCAAGTCCAGAAAGTCATACGGCGATGCGTCCCGTGTCAACGGATGAACAACCTGCCGTATCGATATCCGGCATTGTCAGACCTGCCGCCACGAAGAGTCACAAGAAGTCGACCGTTCCAACACGTCGGCATCGACTACTTCGGGCCAATAGTGGTAAAATCCAGGGAAGGAGAAGGAAAGGCTAAAGCCTACGGTATCATCATCACGTGCACAACAACACGTCTCATTCACTTGGAATGCGTGGAGGACATGTCAACGGTGCAATTACTAGATGCGCTCCGCAGATTCTTCGCCCGTCGAGGGGTACCGGAGACTATAACGTCAGACAACGCACCTTACTTCCTGTTAGGAGACCAGATTCTTCGCGACGCAGCAACTCCTATAGCACAGAACTCAACGATGGCTGCGACGATG